AGTTGAAAAGTTGATAACTTACCTCAAGAAATAGAGGATGGGGGGGAGGGTGGAGCCCCTTTGAGATAACAATAACGTACCAACCACGTCCTAGGTGAGTCCGTATCAGCTAGCTAGGCCTCCTTTAGGGGAGAGAGTGATGGAAGGATGAATAAAAAGTGTCAGTAGTCCCTGGTAGTCGGCAAATGCATGGTTTTATGCATCTGTCCTCTCTGGCTCTGCCTCCTCTCCACGCTGTGCTTAATTTGATCCAAGTACTTGTTCCCGGGCCTCCCTTGTACTAGAAAAGCACACATGTGATCTCAGATTTATTTAAGTTTCTCAATGCAAACGAAATTCATTTTTGGTTGTGGATGGATTTGAATATTGGAAAACTGATTTTCTTTTCTTTTTCTTTTTCTTTCAATGACGTACTCTATTTGGTTTGAAAGAAAAGGTAAGAAAACCTATACAAGTTTAAAAAAGGTTTTCTTACCTTTCCCTACTTTTTCCTTCAAACCTAACACAGCCAAAGGTCAACTCCATTTCCATTCAACTCATAAACTCGGCAGTTATAAATCCTTCCTCAGGATATTTTCATGAAAAGGAAGGAGGGAAAGAGAGAATTAATTAAATCCCGTTCACTTTTTGATAAGTTATTTATATGGGTAAATGCAATTACCTGTGTAAATTTTTCTTAGGAAACACATGCCCATGTAAGTGTCTTTTATTTCTCAAATAAAAAAAAAAAGAAATAACTATTTTAACCATAAAAATCCATTATTTATAAGGACATTTTTGTTCCATTCAAGTGTTGGAAACTTTCCCCCCTATTGGGAAAGTTATTTATCTACCTAGAAGATGGATAAAATGATACCCAGAAAAATAATCTTTTCCTAGTCCTCACATTAATCTGAAAAAAGAACATGAGATTCTTGATCAATGGGAACCAAAATTCTATTGACCAACCTTTCCCCCTCTCAAAATCCAAAAACAGAATACCCCCTTAGTAAAATATAATTATTAGAGATTTAAATGTTTGACTTCAACTGGCCAATGTTTTATTTTAATTTTTTAAAGCGCTGCGGACTGATTTGTAGGAAATCAGGGGATTCTTAAAAGAAGAGATCAAACAGGACCTAAGAATCTTACAACTGCCAAAATAATCTGTATACATTTTTTGTAGGAAAACTTGGAATTGGGGTGGGGCATGAAGGAAGGATCTGGGCCCCAGATCAGGGGGAACTACATGCACCAACTTTAGTAGCTGAGCCAGCTAAGAGCTTCTCTTATTCCCCATCATATAGAAGGATGATGTGGCCAACCAAAATAGTCCATTAGATAAGGACACTATACATAGACTCAAATTAATTTGATTTCCAACCTTATCAGCTACAAATTCCAAAAGCTATTGGACTTTTCCCAAAGTGATTATACTTCATAACTTTGCCAAAGTTTCACTTAAATATGCCCAATAAAGTCTTTAATTTGCTTATGGGCAATTAGTGTATCACTGTAATCTTCTAATTAACTTCCCTCTGCAAGGATTAAGGAAGAAGAGAATTGGTATTGAGATGATTATTTTACCCTCTAAAAGTCTTATCATATATCAAATATATGTATGGGGTTTAAACTAAAACACTTTTAATACTTGGAATAAATCATTTTCGCCTTTTGTTTTCAGCAGTTACCAAATACCACCTAATGGGGTGTTTGATAACAATGAAAACAGGGTTCGATATCTAAAAAAACTTGCTTTTCAAAGGTTGGATCTCGTTTGTGTCAATGTCTGATCTAGTCTATACCACTGAAAAGTGATAATAGGTCTATGATTTAATAATAAAAGATGGTCCACAGAAGGAACATGTTCACGCATTTTATGACTTACAATGATTAAAATGCCTTCCTTTTCTTAACATTATAGAAGCTCTAAAGAGTAGAAAATAGATTTGTTGTTTTCAGATATTAGATTTGTGAAAAGAGATTTCCTACTTTTTCTCAGATATCATACTACAATTTTATCAAATGTCACTTAAATCTTATTGCTGGATGATTCAGCCATGCCTATATTTATCTCTTAATAATGGAGAATGCAAATCAACTTCACATCACTTATTGGGTGAATGGAAAATATTGCTTTGTTTTATTAAACCCTTTCATCCACCACTCTTTGTTGTATCTCATCTCTATCTTCTATATGTCTCTTCAGTCATGCAAGCTGAATGAACCTGATCAATAATCTCTGCAGATAGCAATACCAATGCACATGTCAAGCAGAAAAGTGACCCGAAAAGTAATATAGTAATAGCAGGATAATTTGAAGACAAATCTAATTTATCAAATATTATGTAAATAATTTTGACAAGTTTTTCATTGCTTGCTTTGTCTAATTACTTCACTTTCTCTTACTCTATCTTTTTTTTTTCAAAAAAAAAAAAAGATTAATTTGCTTATCCTAATCTCTAGGCCGAGTTCGAATCTTTTCTAATAATGTAATAATACATTCCCGCATTGAAATATTATCGATATTCCCAATGTGTGGCTGGATGAATGTGACTAAAAATGTATTATGGTCAATAGATCTGGACTTTTTTAGACTATACCCATCTCATGAGTGATGACAGATCTTTGTCCCATATGAAAAAAGGTTTAAGATCATAAAAATGTCTAATCAAGAGCTTTTATATTCCGAAAATGCCAACATCTAATTTTATTTCTAATCTCGTACTAAATACCTTTGAGGAGACCAGCTTATACCATTCCTTTACAATGATTTCATGTTTTCTGTTATGGCATCACAGGTCAATTATACCCCATGGGTAATCCATTAACCCATGAGCTAGTCCATTTAACAACAATTAAATCAGTTTAAAGCGGCGTTTGGTGTCCTTTTTCTGTTCTCAGGAAATAGAGAAGCAACTATATTCTGTTAACTATTAACAGAAAAGTAGGTTGGGGATGGTTGTAATTTATTTGGGGTTTGGTTCATGAGTAGGTTTATGACAAGCTTGCTTATCAAACCTATTCATTTCAGATGATAAATTAAGCAGACATTTTTTACTTTTCTACTGATGACAAGTTCATATCAAAACATAAAAGTTACTTTTCTGTAGTAAACCAAACACCCCTTGGGTTTCAAAATAAAAACTGCATGTTATTGTTTTATCCAAACTGTATCATCATTCCTCACTCCATAATATCCTATTAGGAAGTATTCTTGGAGAAATGAATATTTTATTTGCACTCAGAAAAAAAAAAGATTTTGAGATTTTAAATTATGCTTGGTGGACAGGAGTAATGAGATAATAATTATATCTTAATATTTTTAGGGTCATTTACTAGAACATCCTATATAGTTTCATGGATTTATTTAAACCTATCTTGTAGTTTTCATTTTACTAAAACACCCTCTATACTTTGCAACCTATTTACTTAATAATCGGCCTTTCATTAAAAAGTGTATTTTTCCATTTAGTGATAACATGATCACTTAAGTTGAATGGAAAAAATGTTCAATGGCATGGGCACATGATTATTTATTCCAAAATTCCCTTAACACTTACTAGGTATAGAAAACAAAGTTGACCAAATAAAGCCAAATAGAGTAGTTGCATGCATGTGTCTTATTAGGGGCAAAATGGCATTTTTTTTTATTTTTATTTTCTTTTGATTAAATTTATTCAAATGAACATTACGGACAAAATCGATTGCAAAGTACAGGTGTTTTAGTAAAATGCAGACTAATAAAAGGTATGGGCTTTAATAAATCCATGAAACCATAGGGGTGATTTAGTAAATGACCCTATTTTTTTATACCTTTTGAATTAACAAATCATTTTCTTAAATGGGTCATGTCAAGAATCCTAATAGAAAAATTAATTTTTGATAATATGAATGCATGATCACCATCTCTCTTTATTTATATATGCCATGAAAATTTTTGTTTTACATGTTTCTAGGAAAATCTATGATGCCCTAAGAGCTTTCACCAATCAAAGCTCACCCATGATTTTTTATAAATACAATCTGATTAGTTAACACGTTTTTAATAATACTGATTAATTAGTCACAAGTTTTTTTGAATATCATGTCTTTCTGGTATTATAGTCGAACCAACCCATTTTTTCTAAAAGGGGTGAAATCTTTTTCAATATGTAGGCTTAAGTTAACATTTTGCACCTTTTCACTGAGGGACAATTTCATTTTCTGCCACTTTTGCATGAGAACAAAAATGCAGCTAAGAAAAAGAAAATTGAAAAAAAAAAAAGCTTTTCAATTCCTTCCATTATTCCCAACATCATCATCATCTAAGCCTCGTCTTAATCATATGGGGTTGGTTGCATGAATCGGATTGAATCCTGCTTCGTCATTCAGTTCTGTTTCATCGTTGAATCATCCGAAGAATGCTTGAACAATATTGCTTTTCTTAGATAAAAATTTCTCAATGCCGACCTCAAGAGAAAGATGTGACCACTAAACACTCCAAAATTCATAATTAAGCCTCCGACTATGCACGTAATGGTGTTAACTGTTAAGAAAGAGGCGCCCACATGGATTTTCCTCTTCCACATTCCTCCATGGGCAACCTGTTGCACCAGTCCAATGGAAAAACCGGAACCAAGGAAACAAAGCCACAGGTCAATGAACTGGTACAGCAGGTTGCCATTGGACAAAACACCACCTCATCAGTTCTTTTTCTTTTCCTGCCTTTTCCTTGGCAGGAAAAAGCAGAACCCCGTTTATCAAAACAAACAGCACCCATTTCAATTTTGTTGAAGTAACATGTCAAGAACATTGACAACTGACAAGTCCCAAATCGGGGGCAATGTTTAAGAAAAAGGAATTTCTTAGGGGTTTCTTTTGTTATTTTTCTTAATGGGAGGGACTTTTCTGTTGTTACGCATAGAAAGGTGGTTCTCATTGTAAAATCCAGTTCTTTTTTTTTTTTTTTTTTTTGGATGCTTTCCGTTGAAATTCCCTTGGTACTTTGATCATTGTATTTCGTTGCAAACACTGTGAAATTCTGGTGATAAAATTCTATCTATTCATGGAAAAAAAGGTAGTTACATGGAATTAGAAAAATAAAAATTACATGAAAAAAGGAGAAAATAAAGAAAATAAAATACAAATAAAAATAAAAAACCTATTTTTTTTTCTATCTTTGGCTACTTGGGTCAACGAGTTCAACCCATTTTGACCAATACAAGTTTTCCTAAAACGGGGACTTGAGTACATTATCTGACCCCATTTTCTTCATGAAGTTGCCAAGCCTATTATCGGCCAACCTCGACTTATAAGCAGATTGTTTATATTCAGACCATGTGAACTCTTCATACAAGCTCTCCTCTCCTTCTTTCATGAGTGATGCCAAGGGAGCTATTCTCTCATTCAGAGGTGGTCCTCCAAAGAAAATCATGGAAACCCTAGATTTCGGGCTGTTGGCCAATACTCTGTGCTTCACACTTCTGAATCTCCCATTGGTCATAACCTGAAAAGTCCACAACATCCACCCAAACAACAAAAAAGATGATTAGGACAACAGGAAAAGCTTGATTGAATACTGATTTTGACCTAAGTAACAAACTAGTAGTTTGGAACAAAGAAAGAGAGAATTAAATACGAATTGATTGCAGGAAAATCCACTGCAAGAGTAGATAGCAGATAGAATCATGAAAAAGAGACCCATGAAAGATGTTGATGAATAATTTAAAGAAAACTGAAAACCCATTAATTGCTGACAAGCTTGAATTCATGAAAGTAAGTTAAGTGATTGCCACCTGGAAAATAAGGTCTAGATTTTCTGTTTGAAAGGTGATGTCAAGAGAAAACTAAAAAAAACAGTTGAGGAATGAAAGAAGATTAGGTGGTTGTACCTGCAGGGAATCACCAACATTGATGAAGAAGGAGGTCTGATCAGGTGGGACAGAGACCCAACTCCCATCTCGCAAAGAGATTTGCAGACCTGACGCGTTGTTGGAGCGTAGAATCGATATAACCTGTGGGTCTGTGTGCTCCCCAAATCCAATTAAGTTTTGACCACTCAGCTCCTGAAGCTCTGGACATGGAGGGTAGTGATTGAGCCTGAAGACGGAGTCGCTGTTTTCATCCATCAAAAGCTTACTGAACACATTCCTCGGCTGAATCATCAGCCCTTCAGCCAGTAATTCGAGGACATGGCAAGCCATCTTCTTGACAGCTGCAATATAATCATTGACAGCAGAGCTACAAAAAAAAAAAAAACAGTGTAAAACAAACTTACAGATCTCACCAGGGAAATGTTGTACTGATGTAGAACAAAAGGAAAGAACATCCAAAAGAAATCGTGTATCAAGGTTGGTTCCTCTCAGTTTCTTACCAGAATATTTCTGGGTTCTCTCTGAAAACGGTAAGACATCTCTGGAAAATGGATTCAGGGTTGGTATTGAAGAGAAGATATTCAACCCAACCGACATCCCCGTTTGGTCCAATTCTCCTGTTTCCATACCCAAATGGGTCAGGAGGCCCTCCATTTTCTTTCTCAGACTGGGGCAGGGAGAAGAACTTGATGGCTTCGGATTCCAATCTGGAGACGAAGTCCATTGGAACACCATGGTTAATTATCTTGAAGAACCCAAATTCTTGACAGGCCTTAACCAGGAGGGTCTTAGCGTCTGGCTTCGAGAGGTCTATCACTGGAATCCCAGGGAAGAAGATAGATGGTCTGCAGGCCTTTACCAGAGGAAACTGGTCGAGACATGGCTTAGACAAGACCACCATGGTTTCTTCACTCTGTTACTCTGTAATAGAAACAGGGGAGGATTGGAAAGAGGAGAGATAGAGTCGTAGGGAGAGAGAGAAAGAGAAAGAGAGATAGAGATAGAAAGAGAGAGAGAGTGAGGAAGGGAGGGAGAGAAAGAGATCGAGCGATGTGGTGATAGTTCAGATTTGGTCGACGAGAGCGTCGTTTAAATGGACAATGGGTGGGTGACTCGATGGCTTGGGATTGCATGAACAGAGGCGTTACGAACTAAAAAAGTTCGACCCACTCAGCCATCTGGCTTTCGGGCTTGGTGATTTATGCATGAGAGAGAGAGAGAGAGAGATTCAATTAATAATATTTTATTTTATTTTTATTACTTATCTACTTTTTTGATGGGTCTCTCTTTCTCTGTTTCTTTCTCTCTCTTTTTTATGGGTCTCTTCTCTAGCAGTAATCTTTGAGGTTTATTAGAAGTCAATTCAAGCAGATTCCTTACGGAATATGTTTAATTAAAGTGATAATAGAAGAGAAATAATTAGGTAATTAAATTAAAGCTGTTCAATTAATGTAAGACTATTTCTGATTTGCTTATTAGACGGTTCTGATTTTCAAAAGGAGCTAACGCATCATCGTGGAGGTGACATCTGGGACTAGAAACTGCGTGTGATTGGTCTAAAAGGGGGCTCACTGTGGGATAGGAGGACCGGCTGAGACGTGGCTTTGCCTAAGGCGTTGGTGACATCACCATTCCTCTTGGCTTGGCCCCTACTAACGTCTCTCTCCTCATAAAATTGTCATTTGATGGATCTATTTATGGCTCAAGGAATCAAGGCTGTAGAGTTCGGGTCGGGTTCCTTACCCGAGAAGGTCCGGGTAGGTTGTTCAATATGGGGTTCGTTTGTTTTGAACTCAAAATCGGGTTTCAACAATTTGATCCGGGTTGGGGAGGGGAGGGGAGGATTGGCTAAAAACTTCTGAGTTCTGACCCAGGTTTGGATTGACCGTCCTTGACTGAAAAGAGAGGCTGGTTATTGGTGCTGAGGCATCCAAGGATAATCCTGGTGCTGAACCCTCAAATTCCCTCCTCCTGTTCTCTTTTTCTTTTCTTTTGCTTCTTTTTTCACTTCTCAAAGTACAAATATATTACAACCATCCATTGCTGAAACAGATGGCAACACTCAGCTTACGAGCCAGAGCATAAATGTCAATCAATCATGTCCAGCTTAAGATGTCTATGCTTGTTTCAAATAATGTGGTCTTCTTATCTTCAGCAAGGGGGTCTCTTTGGTACACCGACAAAATAGGATGGCTGCATAAAATCGGGTCGGGTTGATTGAGGCTTGAACCCGGATCCCCAGTCTGGACCCGATTCCACCTGCACCATTGATGTGGGGAAAAAAATACCCATATGTTTTATTTGAGCCACCTGAGTGCGGATCCTCTAGACTAGACCTCTGTTGTCAACCATGGGCTGGAATCACACAGTCAAACCAGTGAACCAGTGACTCATTGAGCTTTCCGGGTCTGGGTCTTTTGACCATCCATGGGTCGTCCTAAAACAGTGCTCTATAGTGAAGTTTGTGGAGTTCCTCAATTATTAAATGCTAAAGCTTTTATTTCTTACATATGCATGAGAAATTGCCTGATGAAATGACAATTAGTTTCAGTCGTGATCACACTCTTAGCATCATTAGCTTCTCTATTAACCATGGTTAATGGTTAATTTTTAAGAATTGAGCATGCTTGGGAAGGGTATATTTATGTTCAAAAGTGGCAACATATCTTAAATCCTCTTCATTAGTGGATTCAAATTTCGATAATGCATTGTATTATGTTGAACCTTGCTCTTAACCAATCAAAATCTCACATGTGGAAGAAGAAAATGGGGTAGGTATGAAAGAATTGTCCTTTTCTATGTGCAACATGTTTGTATTGCATTTCAGTTTCTCTCTAACCAAGTAGAGAGGTAGTACAATTAATTGAATAATTCGCTTCAAACAAACTGCAGCATCTTTCCTTTTTTGGTGAAGCAGCCTTCGTCTGCATTGACATTGGTTTGTTGCTTATCGTCAACTTTGAGAGAAGCCAATGGCAAATATATTGGCCTGTTGTTTTGAGATTTAAGAGCCCTAGTTTTTAGGGGGCCTTCTTTTTTTGGATTTTGAGAGGGGAGAAAGTTGGTCAATAGGATTTTGGTTCCTATTGACCAATAATCCCATGTTCATTATTCAAATTAATATGGGGACCGAGGAAAGTTTGTTTTCCATATCACTTATTTAGGTGGGTAAATAACTTTTCCACCTAGGAGGAAGGTTGCTAACACTTGAATGGGACAAAAATGCCCCTTTTAATAATGGATTTTTATGACTAAAATGATCATTACTTTATTTACCTGAGAAATAAAAGAACATGGGTAAATACACTTACTCGGGTAAGTATTTCCTAGGAAAAGTTTACTCAAATAATTGCATTTACCCGGGTAATTAATTAACTTACCAAAAAGCGAATGGGGCCTTAGGCTATGTTTGGTTTGAAGGAAAAGGTAGGGAAATGAAGGGAAAGACGGTGAAACCTATACAATGTTTGTAAAGATTTCCCTACCTTTCCCTGCATTTTCCTTCAAACCAAACATAGCCTTTAGTGTTAAATGAATCATCACCCCTTCTTCTAATTGAAGAAAGCAGTAGATAAGAATACCTCTGTAAATTAAGCTTATTGTTTGGCTATATTTGATTGAGCTTGGAAGACAACACTGTTGTTTTCTTTTGAGGTGGCCTCATTTTCCTTTAGGGTTCTATTTCTTTACCTTACTATTGAAGACAATATACTAGAAAAGTTGATGATTTTTCCCAATCAACTTCTACCTCTTTTCTTCACTTTATTTTTTCCACTTCTCTGTCTCTCTCTCTCTAAATCTTCTATTGTTGGTTACATACCCCATGCGTTTAATGGGGTTTGGTAACTTCACTTTTAATGGATTAAATTAACAGTTTAAGGATTTTAGAAGCCAAGTGGGTTTAATTGCTTACCCTCATGACAATGTAACTCTTTGCCCCACCCCTTGATTCCCTCTTGTAATGTGTAGTATATAATATCTAAACCCCACCTTTATGAATAGGACTCCTCAAACTAATATTATTTTAATCAACTAATATTGGAGGAATCAAAATTATACCTAACCTTCCATTAAGAAAATCATGTCATTTTCTATACATGAAAGAAAATAGTTGAAAAAAAAGGAACTCCTTTGACTATGTAAACAAACTACAATTATACAAAGCATAGATGCCAGTCAGTCTTACCCAACTTCTTTAATATATAAATAGGGCATTTTTATTCCAATTCTATACATCATACATGTTTAATTTATATATTAAGTTTGTGGATATGAGATCCAAATGTGAATCATACTTGCAATCAATCTCTTTACCAACCATGCACGTCTCAAACTTGTCATATTTATTTAAAGCTTGTTCTTCCAACATTCCCCTTGTGCTTATATTGTAATATAGTATGATAGGTATTATTCAATATAGGTAGTGATATTCTTAGGAGCCACACATTGGGAAAAAAAAAATGGTTCATGAAATTAACTAATAATCTATGAATTCATCCATCTTTCTTTTCTAAGTTACATGTCCACCTAAAAGGGGCTGTAAATCTTAATAGCTTTTGCAGTTTTTGTCAATGCACTAAGCATTAGCTTAATTTTTTAATTAATTCCATTGTGGAAGTATGTATTTTCTTCAAAAGTAGCCTATCTTTTGGTTGATCCTATCTAGACTTTTTGATGTGCCATTGTTGGCAATACATAGAGAGAGAGAGAGTCAAAGCTGACTCCATGTGGCAATATTCCTCCCTTGACTCTCCCTTCAAATAATCTAAGCATTTGCATTCACACCTGTCCTAAATATTCTCAAGAGATGCTAAAATGTTGTACGTCATTAGAATGATTATTTCAGCCCGAATGAAGCCCCCCTTTTCCCTACTAGAAGGGTGAATGGTCAACCCAAACTTTCCATCCATAAGAATCAAGTGTGGTCTGTGGACCCTTGAGAATATAAAAGGAACTCTTTTTATTAATTTAGCAAACTGGACTTTGTATGCATGCTATGAGCAGCATGAGCAAAGAAGGAAAGACTACAGTACTTGTGTTCTAAATGCAGGAAGATACAGCCCAAGGGTTGATGGTGCAAATTTAGAACTTCTGGATTAGCCACCTGTTAATCAATTCTTCTTCTCCATCTCCATCACCAGTCACCATCCTCTTTCCAAAGAACAACCTATTTGCCAGGTGCCAAAGGAATTAACATTGGACAAAAAACTTCTCCCATGGATACAAGAAATATTCAGTGGGTGACATGAAAAAGGACTATGTGTACTCATGTATACATATATATAGAATGCCGGTTCAACCTTTAATTCAAGATTGTTTGGCTCTAAATATCATATATACCTTGCCTCTTCAAGAAAAGAACTTGAGGAAGTAGAAAAGGAGAGCAGAATGAGTTTTAGTTGTTTCTGTTAATGGGTGGAGTAATGTTTCATCAAAAATTGCAGAAGAACAAATATTACTGTCTGGTCTGCCCATCTTTTCTATCTGAAAGATATAAATAAAGTGGGTTAGGCATAGATGTGTGTATTGGATGGAGGGTGCTTCACGTCTCAAAACTTGTGAGGGGCTGCCATCACTCCTTGCTTGCTTGCTTACTAAGAAGACATAGACAGTCCTCCCTCCCTTTCCATTTGATGGGTCCAAGCACTATTTGGATTTGGTCAGTGTTAAATCACGTTAAGGCCCATTAAGCAGTACGGTCATAGTCGGCAGTTATTGAACACTGAAATGCCTCAGGTGTGGACCAGCCACAGAATGGACCTCCCCCACCTTGAAATCCTTAGAACCCAGAAACTTAAAAAGAAAAAGAATGGGGAGTTGGGGACCCCTCGCACGAGGGGGTGTGTGCCTTTTAACCCATCATAGATATTTGATAAAATGCCTCAGTCACCGGCCAGTCTTTTGCGGACAACACATTGCTAGAACTACAACATATTCATCAGACTGTCTAATCATTTATACGCATGCCTGTCCTTGCAGTGACCTAGCTAATCTCCTCTCAGATTTTTGATAAGGGTCTCAACCATCCCTCCAATTGGGAACCCCTAACCCCTAACATGAAGGAGTCACATATAGGACCAAGATGAGGCATGGAATGGTGGGGAGATTCCAACCTGAGAGTTGGAAAAAGTACCCCACCCCCCTCCCATTTGGGGCTCTCATATTGAAAGGC